GAATATTATCGTAGTAAAAAGTATTCATAATGTCCAATTATCATGAAATCAAATCATAAAATATATAAGAGATGCATTTTCATACAAAGATTTTTTTGAGAAAACTAGAAATTCAGAAAAAATAAAAAAATAAAAATAAAAATAAAAAATTCACAAGTAAAAGATAGTAAGAATAAATATTATTCTTCTTCTTCTCAGTAATGCTTGAGGAGGCGAGGTAGGGTGATTAGCAAGGCATGCAAGGTTCCCAGGTCCCAAAGAGGCATGAGCATCAAATGAAGAGCTTGAGGGACATGAGCAAGTGACTATGCATAGAAGTACTAACTCCACCATTATTTAAACAATGTACAATCATAATAAACTAAGCACTCGTGTTAGGAGTTTAGGACACACCACACACCATGGTGTGTCCTCCAACCTGATCCTAGTGGTTGCTCCTTGAGAGTAGTGTGTGGCTAATGAATCATGAGTCATGACTCAGGTCGGTTCCATTGGGTTGAGGTTGGTGTGCTGATCAAAAGATAAGTACTACTACAACATTTTGCTCCACAATCATGACTTTAAAAACCTTTGTTAAAGCTATAGTGTTGATGAAATCTATCCTTTTTTCATTAGAAAAGTAGTGTGCAAACTAGGATCAATAAGTGTATTTATAATTAGTCTACAAAGTCAAATTGGATTGACGAACCAAGGGTTGTAGCCTAGTGATACATCCTCGCTTTCTAAATTAAAAGGTCGAGTATTCAAATTCTCAAAGGGGCATGTGCAAGAACGAAGTCAAGATTTAATTTCAGGAAGGGCACAAAGTAATAATTTACAAATTATATACTTATATATATATATATATATATATAAAATTTAGTGGACCAGCTTGGTCCGGGGAGACACACGGCCCCTACCCCGGGGGGCCTAAGCTGGCTCTGTCCGAGTATGTGAGTTTATTGCCACAAAAAATATGATACTAAAAAACTGGATGGATGGAATGCGAGAAACTGGGAACATGTTAATTTTTCTGAACCTTATTTAATTTCCTCAATTTATATATTACTGAAGTAATCTATAACCACTTATAATTTTTATTATTATTTATTTTCGATTTGTCATTGGGTTTAATATTCACCAAGTCACTGAACTAGCCCAGCAGATTTGATGAACCCAAAACAGGCGCAGTACTATCTTTTAGCAAATAAAGTTGAATAATAACAAGAAGCCAAATACAACAATCTAAACCAGTCACAAATCAATAAAGGGAAACAAGTAACAACCACACAATATCATAGAGTTCATGGTGTCACATCGGTCAAGTTCAGAACTTGCCGCTAACAAACAGAAATACCCACAACGGCCTCTTCATGGTGGTTGCTAGGGCTTGTTTAGCGGATTTGTTGCTCAGATAACCAGCTTTAACGGCTACAAAGCCTACAATTAGACCGTTAAATCAGGTGATTTGATTTGTTCATGGGCTGGGCCCGTTCTTAGTCCTTAGTTTTGCACATTTATAGGGCTTTGTCTTTCCAGTTTTCTGGGCTGTTTTAGCCAAAAGCCCATAATCTCGTTATTAATTCAGTTGTTTAAACTTTTGAAGAAAAGAAAAAAAAATTAAAAAAAAAAAAAAAGGCGATGCTGGGGAATTTGACGTGAAATGGTATATTGCGGGCCTACTAAGGACATTGTCACCGTAATATAAATTTAATCATATATAATATGACCAAGAATGTGTTTGACAACCCAAGAAAAGATTTCCATTTGATAGCACTTTTTCCTTCTACTTTTTGGCTTTGGAACACATTTTTTAACGACGAAAATGTCTTCCACCTACTGTGGTCGGTGGACACCAACCAAGTGAACATATCGGCAAATAAATGGCATGTCGGATAATCCCAATTTTGTCATTATAAAGTGCTAATAATTTCTTTATTTCTTCTTTACAATTAGTTTCTGTATGTTTTTCTGATTGCTCATAGAAGTAACAATCGGATACCCACAATAAAACGTGTTAATTTGGCCTCCCCCATGCCATTTCTGCAGATGGATTTACTGTTGCTGATTACAGTATCAATTTCAAAATTCATATAGTTAATCATTTTCGAGTGTGCTTAACAGCACTGATAATTTAAGCCATTCACAGTGACTCCAAGAACTAACAAACACAAACAAAATTATTTGAAAATTAGCACTGAAACTGTACAGATAAGTTATTTGAAAGTTGCATTAAAACCACTCTAATAAACATTGCTTTCTCAGCTTTTATCTACACTATCTGGAGGGAGAGAAATCACAGATTATTCTCTAACTCCTATTATGATATTATGTCCTTGCAAAGGAGCATAGTGGATACAGTCAAGCATAGAATGTGGTCTCTAAGGGGGTTTAAACAATCCCACGAGGGTCTGTGTTTACAAAGGGAATGGGGCCTGCTCAACAATATCTTTATTCAACTATGGGGATATACCACTTGACTGCTTGCGCCTTAACTTCTGAAGGAACCTTGCTATATAGTTCACCCTTACATTTCTTCTTTGGCGGACATTCCAGGTGCTATAGAGGTTTTGTTCTGCTCCTATGCTGCAAGCTCCCCTCTCTGTTTGGAGATTGTGTTTCTGCTATCATAGCCTGCCTCGATATATTTTGTGTATAGCTATCTTGACTAACCTTAATTCTGAGTATAGATCATTTTGGTTTTGTGAGTGATATATTGTAGAGATTTATAATGCTAGTCTCTATAGGACTGGTAAACCCATCTTCTTCTTCTTCTTCTTTTTTTTTTTTTTTTTTTTTTTCGCGTTGGCTGTACATGGGGGTATGCTCCTGTTCTTGATGTACATGGCTCATTTTGATTGCTAAAGGAAGTCCATGACTAGATTCTAACACAATCACATCTACAAGCTGGCAAAACTATAAATCAAAAACTCTACACTCAATAAGCCACCACTTTTAGGTACTTTACATTTTGGTTAATCCTAAGAAGGTTTAAGGAGTCGGTAGTTCAGATTTGTACTGTGAACTCCTATAATGTACAGAAAAATTCGCCATTTGAAACTTGAAGAACGAAATTTCATTCTAGTTTTTCAATAAAATAGCATTTTAAAAAAAAAAAAAAAAAAGACTTTCAGAAATATAAGATCATCAAGTCCTATCAATAAAAAAAATAAAAAATATCCCAGTAAGTTTGTTCGTTGATAGGACTTGATAGTCTTATATTTTTAAAAGTATGATTTCCCTGAAAATTTCCTTTTTAAAAATTTTCAGCTTAAAAGAAGAGGAATTGGCTAGAAGAAGCGGTAATACACATCAACGTACTGGAGACACCACTCTTCAAGCTTGACTTTAAGCTAAGGCTAGCAAGCAAATTTTACATGCTAAGCAAGAAACTTCAGCTTAATTTATTCAAAAGTAGCCCTCTCAAAGGAAACTGGTAAATCAAATGAATTTGGTCCTTTCAAAGTAGGACTTAAGTCCGAGAAAGGCATTTTTATATTCCTAGATATATATTTCAATACATTTTCTCAAACAAATTAATGTTAGGAAGAATGATCGTTAGCTTCAAGTACTGTCAAAGCAAGCTCCTAGATTATTCAGAGTTAATCAGTAATATGTCATGGCAACTGTTCCAGAATTTAGGCAAGCTCTCCAGATGGAAACTCAAAAAGAGAGTACCGGTGGATTATATAAATAATGTCACTATCTCCAAAATTGGACAGAAGAGAAAGATAATTATTGCATATAATGTAAGGTGATATTATTACCCTTCATCAAATTTTGCCAAATTATACAATGAGGGTATAATAGTAGGGCAAAAAAAAAAAAAAAAAAAAAAAAAACCTCTCCTTCCCTTCCATCTTACCAAACAATAACATGTGTCACCTCCATATGCTCCCTTTCACTCAACCAAACAAAAGGGGAAAGGACACATTTCCTTCTCTAAGGATGCCTCATTCACCCTTCCTAATCTCCCTTGCACCAAATTCTCCACCTTCGTACCAAACAAAGCATTAGACTTGGATTATCTAGGCTTTTAAGCACACCATAACTCAAGTTACGAATTACAGTACCAGAATTACGTAAGGAAAAATCACCCTACAAGTTCCAGTATTTGTCAAAGGCAAGCTTCCTAGTAAGACACTACAAACATCACCAAATGGCACCCCAATCCCTCAAATGGAAAGACGAAAGAAGAAGAAGAAAAATGGGAAGCAAAGCCTTAGGCATTTTCCAAGTTACGAATTACAGTACCAGAATTACGAAAGGAAAAATCACCCTACAAGTATTTGTCAAAGGCAAGCTTCCTAGTAAGACACTACAAACATCACCAAATGGCACCCCAATCCCTCAAATGGAAAGACGAAAGAAGAAGAAGAAAAATGGGAAGCAAAGCCTTAGGCATTTTCCAAAGGTAGAGGATGAAACACTACGGAAATTTTATCCAAAATATGATTGTGTTTCCTTGAGTAATAAATTGAGAACTATATATAAAATATAATAAAGAAGGATCAAGAGCTCGGGAAAACAATGGAAGGATCTGATCTGGATAACACCATACATAATGAACTTCAAGAACCCAAAACCAGTTCAATTGGATTAGTTCTACCATCTTTGTGTTTACATCCTACAAAAGATACTTACTAGTATCACAGACCAGTGGAATCATTTGTTTCTTAGTTACTGGCAGAATATAAAAAATTAAAAATATAATATGATACAAGCATATGTCACAAGCCAATGAAGAAAACTTAATAATAATAACAGGTAATATAGAAACACAACTACAAGAAATGAAAGAAATTAAGAGAGCATACGGTAACAACATGAAATTTATCAACCCCAAATGAAAGACTAAAATATTGCCAACCATCACTTACAGACAAAAGTAGTCGTAAAGTAACACAAAATCAGAAAAAGATTAGTAAATTGCAAATTGGATTCAAGGAATATAATACAATATATTTCAAAAAAAAAAAAAAAAAAAAAAAAAAAAAAAAAAAAAACATAAATACAATATGTATGACAATGAGCTAATAATATATAAATGATTCATCAGGGTAATATACAAGTAAGAAAAGTAGCAAACACTTCAGAAAGAGAGCTTGAATGTGCTAAACAATTTCAATCAGTGTACATGAGTTGGACAAAACTTTTTTCTTACAGTTAGTCCCCAAAATGTCATCATCCATCTAATAACTCCGTTAGCAAGCGCAGCCCTTCAAAAATTATGCTATTACAAGTAGAACAAAACACCTGTGTCCTGGAAAGACCCCTGGTACTAGATGAAAACAGGAAAGCAGAAGGGGTTGAAGGGAATAGAGAGAAAAACGAAGATGCACTGTGAATGTGATAACCCCTCACAAATCTTTCAACAATAAAAATGGAAACCACGAAGCCAAGTTCTCTGCTTAAAAGATCGATGCATCGAATCTTGGCTCATAGAAACAGATCTGACTGTTGTATGACTGAAGAGCACAGCCAGCAATCCAAGACCAACCCTTTTTATCCACATCATAAAGAAGGCCTTTCCCTTGGGTCCAAGACGTAAAGCAAATCAAATTATCCTGTCCAAAGCACTCAAATCTCTCTGCAGATAACCTCAAGAGAGCACGAAAGTACCTTGGTGGCATCTTACTGATCTCAACCCAGACGATCTTTGCATGATCCAATTCCCAAATTCTCATACCCTGAAGAGTACTATAAAGACCTATCCTTCCAACTAGGAAAAGACGTTTTTGAGTGCCGGCAACCAGATACCCATCCAATAAAGACCGTGGAAACTTAGCTGGTATGTGTTCCCAGTATCCTGTGTCCAGCCTAAACATCATCAATCCAAGTGGAGAAAGAGTTTCTAGATACAACCTAGAGTCACAAAATGCCATCTTTGAGGAGCATAGATTAACGGCGGGCATTATCTGGTGAAGCGACCAACGGTCAAGCTTTGAGTCATATACTTCAGTTGGCAATGACCTGTCACCATAAATATCACCAGTGGCTATAACTTTAAAGGATCTGTCGGTCCGATCAACGACCATAATTAACTGTCTTTGCTGATTATAATGCATACCAGGCAATGTCCTCCAAGTTTGTGTGAGGGGGTTACAAACTAAAGTTTTGAAAGTCAACCCATCGAGTCCTGAGAAGCATACAAGACCCCCTGAAGAGCCAACCAACCAGTAAGCCCACTGTGGTAAAAATGTGAATGGAATTCTATACCACTGTTTCAATGGCAAGCTAAATACTGAGCATTGCAGGGTCTGTGGATTCCTCCAAAATGTGAGAAGACATGGCCCATGAGATGGCACTTGTGAATGAAATTTAAGAAAACTATTATCCTGCAAAATGGAATTCCATCTTTTACAAACAGATCTGAGCCGAAAAATCATGAATGGAGGAACCCTAACTAAGATTTCATTCAATAAATCCTCGGGCAACATTGCCCATATATTATCTTCCATTTGAACATCCGGGAGAGTGGCTTTACCAAATGTAGCAATCGTCTCCTCATCTAAACCCCGTGGCTTGGTCTTAATCACCTTCTGCCTAGAAGGACTAGTATTCCTTGAACCTGTTCGGCCTATTGGGCTTGTATTTCTTGACCCACCTCCCCCATAATGAGTCAATTGGCTGTGAGAACTATCCTCCTCACGAGAAGACCCCCTATTAACTGTTTGAAAACTCAATTCCCTAGACCCAGAAACAGAAGTTTCCCCAGTTGCAACCATTTTATCAATCAACAAAAACCCTCACTGTACCAAAAACGAGGGCTTATTTAACCACCAAATCCAAACCCCGATTCATTCACATATACAAAGAGATTTACAACTTCTCAAAACCCCAGAACCAGATCCAATAGATGCTCCAATTCCAGCCATGCCATTGAAACTCAAAATCCCAATAACCCAAGATTCAATTTTTACTCAAATGCCACATGCAAGCCCTAATTCATGTTTCCATAAGCCGAAAGATCCAACATTTCCAGCTTTACTGTGAATTGGATTTATGCTATCAGATCCACAGGGGAAAAAGAAAAGAAAAAAACTTAAACCCACAAACTAAAAGCGCAGTTGATCAATGGGCAAAACCAGCATTATTAGAAACTAAGACCCAGAACCCTAGATTTCCTCTCAGATCCCAATTGAACAAATTTTACAAATAATGAAACGATTCGAATTGAAAGATTGAATCTTTTAGATCAATATGAAATTGCAAAACGATAGCTTTCTGATTGTAGATGAATTACCTTTTGATCTACTGAATCATCCGATATTCTTTTGGTGAGGAACAACTGTTCAAAGCTCAGAGAAGTAAACTTTCGTCTGGCATAGTAATGTGGGCAAACCCTAATCTCAATCTCTCTCTCTGTCTCTCTGTCTCTCTCTGGCCTGTTTGGTAGCAGGCGTTGTATTTGATTATTTTTGTGTTTTATTCGATTTATTAAAATGACAATATCATTCAAACATAAAACAATACTTTTTTTTTTTTTAACTTTATTCGAATGCTATGAATTTTTATAAAATTATTTTGTGCATATAAAATCAAAAATTCTTTTTGTAAAATTTGTTAAGTGTAGTAAGAAGTTAGGTCACATAAAGTGAGAGCGGGAGTAAAAGCAAATTCGAGAATAGGAATGTAAGAGCGGTAAAATTAAGTTATAAGTATGGATAATTTGAGCGAGAACGTGTGAGGAGCGTAAGGGCAAGAGCGTGTTTGGAGCATGACAGAGGAAGACTGTGTAACTTAAGTAAGAAGTACAACATCACCACTATTGGCAGAAAATTAAATTGTAAAACATAAAATAAAACAATTCATTAAAAATAAAATTAAATCCAAATGTTTTTATGAATATTTCTGATATCTCAGCTATTTATAATATTTGAAAAGTAACGATTTATTTTCAAAATCTTTATTTTTATCAAGTACGGCAACTGTGAACAATAATAAAAACACATTTAGTAAAAATTATTTTGTTTTGTACAGTAATAAAATGTTTGGGGGTAGCGTTTGATGTTAACAGTAATTTTCTTTTTCTAAAAAAAAAATTAATGATATTTTAAAATTATTATTATATATTTTAAAGTTATAATATTTTTTTTATTAAATATATTTTCATATTTTTGTTTCAAAAAAATATTGTAATAAATAAACGTTACTAGACAAGCTTTCAAATACTATTTAAAATACTTTACAACAGTATTATTATTTTTTTGATTAAAACAAAATGCAAAATATAAAACACATACCCAACAAGCCTAAGAATTTTATGTAAATCGTATGAAGTATATTATTCTAAGAAATCAGACCATTGACAAATAATTATATATAAAATAAAACAATTCATCATTGTGGACTTTGATAAAAAATAAAAAAAAATAAAAAAAATAAAAAAAAAAATCCGAAAAAAACACATTGGAAGCATAATCATATGCAAAAAGTAACATGCGCCAACATAACGGTTTCCAATTATTTTCTTCCACGTAATCAAGTCGGAAGGTGTGGGGGCTTCTTTTTTATGATGTGCCAAATCATCTACCATGATGAAGAGATTTGAATAAGCTAGCTGTAGATGGGCTGGGCTTTTCTAGGTTGGGCTATGTCGTTATCCATGTCCATCCAATTGCTCTCCACATTGGGAAGACGAAAACAAAAACAAAACTATAGTCCATTGGGACCCACTTGTGATAGTCAATCAATTAATTGTTTGGAATCATTTATTAATAGATATTTTAAATATTTAGTAGGGCATTACCAAGTGAACAACGTTTATTAATAAATAAATATTTTAATTACGAATTATTAAGTGATCTAATTAATATTATAAAACATTTTTTTATAGTTGTTACACTTTATTTTTAATTTGAAATAATATTATTATTGCATTAATTAAGAGAGTAAAAAAAAATCAAAATAATTTGGACACGAAGTTATGATTGTTTAAAATTTTTTGCCACTCTATAAAAAATAATAATAGGTCAATGTTATATTACAGACGTAATAAATATTTCATGCCAAAACTCAAAATATATGGATTTTTATTTTTTTATTTTTTTTATTCATCTGTCGAAATGGGCAAGGCTCACGAGCCCAACTACTTTGCTGGTCCTTGGCCCAGACCAGCTCGATAAATGACACAGTCCACTAGTCGGGCTAACCCGAATGGCGAGCCCAGGCATTTACTTCCCATGGTGTACGCCTATAACTTTGAAATTTTAATAAGTGGTGGTGTTAGAATTAGTAAATTAAAAGTGAATACAAATGAGCTGCTTTTCGAATATGAATAACCATTTCCACTGAATAATTCATTTTTTATAAATTTCAAGACTCAAGAGGTGCATAGCTAAGCTCCCATTCAGGGACGGATTTAGGATTTTTAGTGATGGGAGGCAAAAGTGAATTTCTTTTGTAATTTCCGCGGGGGATTGCTTTTACACATATTTGAAGAAAAACAAAATTTAAGCAAATGTTATGGAAGCATATGCAATTTTTTACATTGACCAGTCTGGGCGCAAATCCTCTGTTGTGGAATCCTATGCGGTCTCCTGCAGTGAGTTCTTATGTGATTTATATTTGGTCACGTCATTCACCATCATTTGACAATTGAGGTCGTGTTTGGCAATTACACCACCATTTATAAGTAACATTTCACTACTATTTATAAGTAATATCACAGGAGTCCAAAAAGTAATATCGCAAAATTCTTAAAGTAACATCATCATTTATGTGCATATCTAAATTTAAGGATGAAAATACTTATAAATGATGGTGAAATGTTACTTATAAATGGTGCTATAATTAGCAAACACAGCATGTTAAATTGAGTTATGTTTGTATGTGACATTACTTAGTTTGTATTATGTGCATTACCTTATTTTGAAGGTGAAGATACTTATAAATGGTGATGAAGAAGGTTTTTAATTTTTTGTAATTGGTGCACCCAAACGCTACCTCAAGAGTTATTAACTGAAGAATGATGTGGAAAAATATAGGCCACTTAAAACTCACTATAGGGACCGTATAGGATTCTCACAGTAGAGAATTTGCGCCCGACCAGTTTTGACAGTCAATGAAAGGAAGAAAATGTTATCAAACCATAAACCTTAAAAGTAGTAAAACTGTAATTTGGTTTAACTTGAGAGAGATGTTGGCTTAATTGAAAATAATAATAATAACTTTTTTAAAAATGTGTTTATTTTTGTCTTAATATATGACATTCAACGTTACAGATAGACTAAACATAAGTCCATGGAATTAAAATGACTTTGTCACCGAAATTAAAGGATGACATGACAAAAATACTTCTCCATAAAATGAGACCTTATTCTAGAGAAGCCAAGCCAAAAGATGCTCAATTTCAAAGGAGAAAACACAAGGTTAGGTGTGAAGATGGCCCATGAAAACAAACCCCATTATATAGATAGATATAAGTACATACATATATTTATATATATATATACTCGTATAATTTTGTTGTAGTTATAGTGGCAGCAGTTATAAGGAGCCCCCACACTTTCCGAAAAAAAAAAGATAGAAGGAGCCCCCACCTTAAGAATAAATTTTTAAAATAGTCCCCCTCACTAAATGTCAAAACATTTGGAGGCAGTCATATCATCATCATCCAAACCTCACATCACATGTGAGTAGGCATATAAAATTTTAGGTTTTGGACAAAAATTTCAAACCAATCAATTCGATCAAAGTCTAGAATTTTAAATTAAATATGAAGTTTTGTTGAAGTATTGAAACTTATTGGCGGAAAGTCACTTAATTATTCTGGCCTTGATTGGGCAAAAACTGAAATGTCAATTTTCATATTAATGGCAAACATATACTTACTCTATTGTCTTATCCAAACAGGAACTATATTAAAATTTTGGTAAAAGGAGCACCAGTCATTTGTAGTAAATAAACTTGGGAAAAGCTGTAACTAAAATTTTGTGACCAAACAATAAAATTGATTTAAGATAATTATAAATGTACGATCATCTGAATTTTTTTTTATTTATTAGAGGTTCAAAATTATATATATATATATTACTATGAAGCAAACAGTTGTCAGAGATTGTTATAAAATATGTATTGGACTAGTTTCTAATTAATTCTCACCGGACAAATAAAATAGGTAAAAACTCAACAAATAAACTATTGACATAGATTTGAAAGTATATCTCGATTTATATCTTGATATTTTAGGGATGAAATGAAACACAATCCTCAAATAATGTAAGTCAATAATATCTTGTTTCAACTCACTATAATATAGTCTAAAATAAAGATAGTAGATTGTATAACTACATCAATACCTGTAATTTAATATACAATATGATTATTAATACGGGTAAATATTTTTATTTGTTAAATTAATATAGGTAATATTTATTTTCATCAGCAATGATAGGTTTGTTACAAACAAAACATGTCAAAAACTTTCTATACAAAACAAATTAAACAAGGAGCTATTTTTCATTCAAAACCCTTCAAATTTTGTTACCAACCCATGATAAGTTAAAATATTGTAAATTGGCTCTTACGGATTTTAGAATTAATTTTCTCCAATCTCTCAACATTAACACATTTTTTTCTTCTAATAAATTGTTTTAAAAAAAATTGAATTGCAATTATAAAATCAACACTAAAAATAAATGGCCATTAGAAAATCAAGATTATCCCACTCTTTATTATGAAAACAAAATAAATCAAGCACTTTCTTATACTCCAATATCTTCACCTTTTTCATCTCATAAACATGATCTCCATGACAACAGACACAACTAAAGTGTGAACAGACGTTGGATGGCTATAAAGAACAAAACATACCATTGATAAGGTGGGACTGGCTTGCAACGTCACCAAAATATGAACTATTTTTGTGAGTATGATAAATTAATTTATTTGAATTGGAACATATGAAATATTTGTGTATTCTCTACTTCATATAATTTTGTCTATAAAAATTGTTAACTATAACGCATTTGTATGTAATTTTCTACTCTCTTTTTTTCAGACTAATTAAAAGATACGGGGATGAATAAATAAAATAAAGAATAATACTTTTAAAACAGAAAAAATAAAAAATAAAATAGTCAAAATAAAAAGAATGTGACTATTAGTAATAGAACAATACATACCCTTTACTTACAAGGTGGAACTTACTCCTTACGGAGTAGCATAATATATTTTCAAAATTTTGAGAGACTCAAGATTAACTTTCAAATATGAGCCCTTTATACATAAGATTTTGCAAGTACAAAAAAACTATAAGAGTGCAAAATTTTTATTACAATTAGACGATAAGTACATAAAATATATTAATGCTAAAAAAAACACAAATCAAAACTCGGACTTGGTGCTTTATAAAAAAATACGATATAGTTTACATAAGAATATATATATATATATATATATATATATATATATTCAACACGACTTAAAAAAAAAAAAAAAAAAAAATTCAACTTCATATCAATGTAAATGTGATCATCTTACATTTTGAGTTGCAAAATTATCAATTAAAGTGCTCCAATCAAGTTTTTTTCAACATATTTTT